ATGACTCGGCAAAACCTCTAAAGCATGGGCTGTATTTCTGCCCTGCGCACACATCTTAAGTCAGCTTCGTTAAACAACAACAACAACAACAACAACAACAACAACAGGGGCACCTGGGCGGTACAGTTGGTTAAGCATCTGACTCTTGATCTCAGCTCAGGTCATGATCTCACAGTGTGTGAGTTCAAGCCCCACGTGGGGTTCTGTGCGGATGGTGCGGAGCCTGCTGGAGATTCGGTGTCTCCTTATCTCTGTCCCTCCCCAGCTGTGCTCTCTCTCTCTCTCAAAATAAATAAATAACCTGAAAAAAATAAAAATAAAAGGCAAAACAAAACAACGACACAACCCAAAACACCAAAAAAAGAGCATTCCAAACAGAAGAAGAACAAAAAAAACCCCTCCCTGGTTCCCAGAAGATTAAAGTCGTACAGCCTTGCAAAGACTAAAAACATAAAGTCTGTACCTGTCTGGAGTGCCCTTTGTTGTGATGGTTTGTAACTCTTTCTGTAAAAAGCATACCTAACCCTGTCCCCAAATGTTCCTTCCTCAGAGCACTCTGTTTGTAAAGCCTGTGCATTCTGGGCAGCTGTCCTAACTTGGGCTCAAATAAAACTCTCTTCCTTTCTCTTTAACATTTTAGGAAAGGTTTGTTCACTTTTGTGTCCGCACGACCAAAGCAGCTACTTTTCTCTGGCCTAGGCTCACCTCTCTTTGCGAGCTTCCTAAAACCTGCCCTCCCTCCAGGATGAGAGGCCGATACCACCCAGTCCAGAAGCCTTGCCTGTCATCCCCAATCTGTAGTGGGAAGTGTCCCTTCCGGCCGGCCGGAGCAAGTACGGTCAGTTTCGGGGCCGGGGTACTGTGTATGTGCCGCTGGGTACATCTTGGTGAGCACCCACGGTGAAAACAGCAAATGCTTACGAGGTACAGGCTTAAAATCTGGGCGCTGGCATAAAGGGGTGAGGAGCACTACTCATGTAACAAGTGTCAAAGCTCTTCTAAGTGATGCTGGGAAGGACGTGAACGTTCAGAGTCTGCTATTGTTATGGGGTGAATTGTGTCCCCCCCGCAAAGACGTCTAGGTCCTAATCCCCGGTACCTGTGACAATGACCTTACGGGGTTCTTGGAGATGATTAAGTTAAAATGAGGCCATTAGGGTAGATCCCTAATCCAGGATGACTGGTGTCCTTACAAAAAGGGGAAGTTGGGACGCAGGCCCTCACCACAGCCCAGGAGCTACCAGAAGCCGGGAGAGGCTCCTGGGAAAGGTCCTTCCCTAGCGCCTTCAGAGGGAGGGAGGCCCTGCTGACACCTTGGTCCCGAACTTGTAACTCCAGAACTTGAGTCAGTACATTGTTTAAAATGTTTACTCATTTCTGAGAGAGAGAGAGAGCGGGCAGAGAAGATCTGAATCGGGCTCACACTGACAGCAGAGAGCCCGACACGGGGCTCGAACTCACGAGCCAGCCTCGAGATCATGGCCGGAGCCGGAGTAGGAAGCTTAACCGCCCGAGCCGCCCAGGAACCCCAATACCTTTTTTGAAGCCCCTCAGCTCGTGTTTCCGTGGCAACCTTGGCAAACTAATATAGCCACATGCTGCTAACAGTGTTCTCTTTCTGTTAAGGGTCAGAGAAGTCTTCGCTGGGCTGCCCTTGACATCCTGGTGTGGAGAGCAGAGGCTTTCCTGGGTGAGGGAGAGGAACAGCTCACAAAAATGGAGTGGTTCAGCTCCAGGATTTCCCCGGGGGATTGGCAGGAGCCGAGAGTGACAGCACTGGCCAGAGCCATAGGAATAGGGCTCATAAAGACTCTATCCTTTCGAGTCTAGATTTGGTGAAATTGCAGGGAGCGAGAATTGCGTCAGCGGGTGTGAAATCTCTGGCAGAAGGGAGCGGAGGTGGACCGGTGTGGAATCAGGAGGGGACAGTGACACAAACAGGAGCAGAAGCAGGAAAGAGAAACTTGCCGCCCTCATTCATGCTTGGCTTAGTCTCCCTGCAGCCGGGATTGTTGGCATTACGGGAACCGCGTGGCAACCCGCTCTGAAGTCGTGAGAACGCTCACACCTACAGCTGTGGTGTATATGCGTCGATGCTTAGTCAATGGTGCTCCGCCCTCCTCTGGGGTATTTTGTCATTGTAACCAAAACCCCCGGGGCAGAAGAACCGCACGCGCACGCGAAGGACAGGAATCTCCATGACGTGGCTCCGGCGTAAAAGTTGCCTGCGAGGCTCCGGGCCAGGGGTGGGCAGACCTGGCGGGTGGCATCTCGGAGCAGGGCTTCTCGAGCTGCTCACAGCTTAGCGGCGCTACTTGTTGAAAACAGAGTTGACCGCGGGGCTCCTGGTTGGCTCGGGCATCCGCTCAGGTCGCGATCTCCCCGGCTTCGTGGGTTCCAGTCCCGCAGCGGGCTCTGAGCCTGCTTGGGATTCTCTCTCTCCCTTTCTCTCTGCCCCTCCCCCGCTTGTGCCATCTCTGTCTCTCTCAAAAGAAATAAATGAACTTAAAAAAAAAAAATAGTTTACTGGTATGAGGATGCGACCCTGCCTATTCTGAGCGACATCTCCTTTGGTAGCCAGCATCCCCTGGTGCTTCTCGGTGTTAAAGGGCAGCCACCGTTCCGGGGATTCACGTGGCGGGCTGGAGGCTGTGGTCCCGCCAGGGCGCGGGCATGCACCCAGCGTGCCTCCTCCCTGCCTCCCTCCTGCATGCTAATTTTTCATCGGAAAGTGAGAACGGTGCAGGGAGAGGGCAGGAGGGATGCATAGCGGGAAAGCAGCCAGGACTTCTCAGCTCGCGGGCCGCCCCCCAGCAGCTCGAATTAATCTGTGGTCTTCTTTCTCATCTTTGTTTTCTGGGGGGACAGCAACCCCTCCGGGTGCCACCGCAAACGGCGGGCGATGACTTCGCTGTACCCAAGCTTTCCAAAACGCTCTCCTTCCTCTGGGGATGCTCTGCAAATTCTGTATGAGAGACGCCCTCCAACAAGAGAAGGAGAAAGGAACGTGTACATAAATAAGGCCGTTCTTTGTTTGCA